CACCACCATGCCTGGCTAAATTTTTTTTGAATTTTTGTAGAAATGGGGTTTTGCTATGTTGCCCAGGCTGGTCTCAAACTCCTGGCCTCAAGCAATCCTCCCCCTCAGCTTCCCAAAGTGCTGTGGATTATAGGCATGAGTCACTGCATCTAGCCCTGCTGAAGTATTTTGAAGCAGATGACATTTACAATTCAAACATTTCAGTATAGGTAAGAGTAATTGACAATTTCTTACAGAACCACCATGCTAATGTCCCACCTAGCAAAATGAACAATTATCTGGTGTTGCCTAAAACCAGGTCCATATTCACATATTCCTATTTACAAAATATTTGAATTAGGGTCCAAATGTGGCTCATGCAGTGCCTTTTGTGATGCTTCCTGTCTGTGTCCGCCTGCAGCACTCCTATGTCCTCTTCCCTTTTTCATTCCCTTCCTTGTTCAAAGACACCCATGGCTTATGCTACGGACTGCTTGCCTTCTGTTTACTTCCTTGCGATTTCATGTAACTTGCTTCTCTTTCCCCTTCTGTTTCCTGTAAAATGGAAGGAAGAACTTATGTCTAGGTCCATTCCGGATCGTCCTGTGTCCTTCCTGGTCATCCCCCTCTTGGGGAAGCTGAGATTGAGCCATGGGTTCATGTGAGGTCACTGTTCCCTTCTCTATAAAGTTCCTCAGTTTTTTTGTTTGTTTGTTTTTCTGTTTTGTCTATTGATGATCTGTGCCTAAATCAATTAGGGTAGAGTTTTAATGTCTGGGATTAAGTTTTATACTCCCTAAATACAGGTCTTACCTAGGAGTATAAGATTGGTGTGTACTAACCTCTCTCACTATTTGTAAGTGAGAAGTAGAATGCAGTCATTTTTTTCTAGACTGGATTATAAGGTATGTGTGTATTTCTATTTCTGTGCCTTTTTTTTGTAACCTTTCCTCTTGCTACTTGAACAAAAAACATTGTCATCAAAGGGTTTATAAAGGAAACACTGTACAAAAGTATGTTTATTATATCCAGAGCTCAGTGCTTTAAACACAGTTTTAGCTTATAAATATAGGCATGCTTGCTTTGTGCTTTCCATATGCAGTATCTGATTTCTTCCTTACTAAACCCTATGAAGTAGGCCCTATTATTTTCCTTCTTAAAATAGATGAGGAGTTAAGCTCTGAGTGGTTAAGTAACTTGCTAGAGGCTGCACAGCTAGTAAGTGAAGACCATGAGTTCATCCTAATTCCTTCCAATTCTTTTTTTTAAAATTATTTATTTAATTTATTTCTGAGACCAAACTTCTTTTTGTATTTTTCGTAGAAATGGGGTTTTGCCATGTTGCCCAGGCTGGTCTCAAACTGCTGGCCTCAAGCAATCCTCCCAGCTCAGCCTCCCAAAGTGCTGTGGATTATAGGCATGAGTCACTGCATCCAGCCCTGCTGAAGTATTTTGAAGCAGATGACATTTACAATTCAAACATTTCAGTATAGGTAAGAGTAATTGACAATTTCTTACATGAACACCATGCTACGTAAGACATCATAGATGATCTCTCTGTGCTTCCTTTAAATATCCTATGAATATGGGTTATAAGGGATTGAAAAGACCCAGATAAACCTAGAATTAACTGAGGGTACAGGTTAGAGAAAGACAAACATAGAGAATATTTTTGTGCTGTTGAGATGGGCTAAATTGTCGGCACATGTAAAGTTCTTGCATCTGCACAGAGTAAACAACTGCCTGCTCAGCTTCAGGTTTCCAGGCTCCGTCCTGGGCCCCTGCCTCAGCTGCTTGGGAGGCTGAGGCAGGAGAATCGCTTGAACCTAGGAGGCCCAGATTGCAGCGAGCTGAGAGCACATCACTACACTCCAGCTTGGGCAACAGAGTGAGACTCTGTTTCAAAAAGAAAAACAGCAACAACAACAACAACAACAAAAGAAATTGAGGTTGGATCTCTGTGTGACAGCACCCCACATAAGGAGTTGCTTCTAGTTTCCTCTTCTTGGTGTTGTGAACACAGAATCAAGAGCATTTCCCCTTCCCGTGACACCAGTCAACCTACCTGTCTCATTGATGGTCCTTTTAGGAGGAAGAGATAACTTATATTTTTTTTGGATAAATAATGCTCATTGGAAGACAGTGTAGTCTGATCCTGATGTCTGAATTCCTAAGAATTAGGGTAATGTTGGGTGGGTGGAACGTGTAACTTTGTAACTTGTGTGAGATTCTGTGGTCTCTGGGTAAAGTGATGATCCTCTTCATCCTCTACCTGGGGCTGCCTTGCCCAGCATGGGAAACTGCTCTGCTAGAAGATGGGCTCTTCCTCACTGGCGCCCACTGCCAGGTGGGCTGCTTTCTGCTGTCTGTGCTATAGACTGTGTCACCTCAGAAGGTTCAGAGTTTACCAGATCTCTGAGGGGCCAGAAATAAATATACTGCCTTGTCACAGGCCCTGGAACAGGAAGGCTATCATACCAGCATCCTCGGTGATCCCAAGAAATTGCAACACTGTCCTTGACAAGGCTCCCTGACCCATCCTGCCAATCTCTTCCTTCCAGACTGTACATGCCTTCCTTCCAGCCATTAGGTGTCTTAGCTGGGGGCACATTTCTGTTGTCTTGCTCTGGTGAGAGCCCCATCAATATATCTGTCCAGTATCTTCCCCTGCTCCCTAGTGAGAAAATGTTGCATTCTGTTTGGTGGGACTTTGTGACACCTGGATAGGTCTACCAGATACTTCATTGTTGTACTGCCTATATATCCAACCAGCAAGAAAGGGTGGTAAGAAGAACCCTTTGAAATCATTTTTTATTGATAATTCTCTGCAGTAAATAATATAAGAAGTTGGCACACTGACCTCCTATTTGAAAGTTATGAGTTTAGCCCCGGCACGGTGGCTCATGCCTGTAATCCCAGTGCTTTGAGGGGCTGAGGCCGGTGGATTACGAGGTCAGGAATTCGAGACCAGCCTGGACAACATAGTGGAACCCCATCTCTACTAAAAATACAAAAATTAGCTGAGCATGGTAGCACACACTGGTAGTCCCAGCTACTTGAGAGGCTGAGGCAGGAGAATCACTTGACCCTGCGAGGTGGAGGTTGTAGTGAGTCGAGATCGTGCCACTGCACTCCAGCCTGAGTGACAGAGGAAGACTCCATCTTGGGGGGTGGGAAAAAAAGACAGTTACGGGTTTTTGCGTTTTTTTTCACAAAAGCAGTTAGTCACTTGGATTAATCCATACTCTTTCATGGAGCCCTGGCCATCTTATTGTTCTTAAGTTCCGGCGAGATGGTGGGAGGTATTAGATTTCATAGGAAATGTTATTACCTTTCCAATGGACTTTTTTTTTTCACTTGAAACAAGATGAATACACACACATATATATATACACACACACACACACACACACACATGCACATGTATACACACACATATATCTCTTTTTTGTTTGTTTATTTATTTAGTTTTTGAGACAGGGTCTTGCTCTGTTGCCTATGCTAGAGCACAGAGGCACAGTCATGGCTCATGGCTCACTGAAGCCTTTGGCCTGCTGGCTCCAGTGATCCTCCTGAGTAGCTAGGACAACAGGTATGGGCCACCAGGCCTGGCTAATTTATTTATTTTTTGTAGAGACAGGTTCTTACTATGTTTCCCAGGCTGGTCTCGAACTCCTGGGCTCAAATCATCCTCCTGCCTCAGCCTCCCAAAATGTTGGGATTACAGGCATGAGCCATTGTGCCTGGCCTACTGGCCTATGAACACATACATATTTAAAAGCGAATGCCATGTTTGTTTTGATGCCATTTTGTTTATTAGGTGGGGCTTTTGTGACAGATTTTGGTTTTGTGGAACCCACTCTTGTCCTTTTTTTTTTTGAGATGGAGTCTTGCTCTGTCACCTGGCTGGAGTGCAGTGGCACAGTCTTGGTTCACTGCAAACTCCGCACCCCGGGTTCATGTGATTCTCCCGCCTCAGCTTCCAGAGTAGCTGGGATTACAGGGGCACGCCACCATGCCTAGCTCATTTTTGTAATTTTAGTACCATGTTGGCCAGGATGGTCTCTATCTCTTGATCTCATGATCCACCCACCTTGGCCTCCCAAAGTGCTGGGATTACAGGTGTGAGCCACCGCGCCCGGCCCCTTGTCACTTTTGACTTGTTTGCCACTTCTCTCAGTGAATATATCCCTGGAAGGGTTTAACCTTTGGCCACATTGGCTTCAACACTGGCCTGAAGTTTTCCGACTGGAAAAATGTATTCAAGTTGTTCCTGTGGGGAGTGCTTTCATATTAGTAGGCCATCAGCATCTCATTTCCTGTAACTTCAGGGACTTCAAGGGCCCTCTGCTTACTAGTGTTTTCAGTAGAATTATTTGGCTATGTCAAAGGCTAAAGTGAGATTTGAGGGCTGGGCACGGTGACTCAGGCCTGTAATCCCAGCACTTTGGGAGGCCAAGGTGGGGCGGATCGCTTTGAGCTCAGGAATCAAGACCAGCCTAGGCAACATGGTAAAACCCTGTCTCTACAAAAAATCCAAAGATTAGCTGGGCGTGGTGCCACGCGCCTGTGGTTCCGCCTACTCCAGAGGCTGAGGCTGGAGAATCTTGAATCCGGGAGGTGGAGGCTGCCGTGAGCTGTGATTGCGCCACTGCACTCCAGCCTGGGTGACAGAGTGAGACCATGTCAACAGCAACAGCAACAACAGCAAAAAAGAATACGATTTGCTTCTTGCCTTTTGGTATTCTTAGTAGTTTACATTCCAGAGAAGCAGGAAACATAATGAAAAATAAAAGAGAATAAGTTACCGTAAGTACTAGAAGTGTGCTGATCATTGCGAGATTGGTATTATCAAAGTTAGCCGGGGCAGCTTCCCTTCCCCAGAGAGGGGCACTGGGAAGCTAAAAGGTATGATGGGCGAGTTTTGAATATTCCTTATGTTCACTTGAAAAAGCTGTTAACAAAGCATTCTTGGGGTATGGGAATGAGCATTAGACCTCCAAGGATGGATTTGATCAGAAGGAGGCTTGACTGTTTATTGTAGAGAAACCAGTGATTTAAACAAGCTGGGACATATTTCTCCATTACATGAAATAAGCCTTGAGGAGCTAGGCAGAGACACACATTCCCTCTTCTCTGCTGTTCTTAGGGCATTGCGGGTTTCCATTCTGTCTTCTCATGGTCTAAGATGGTGTCAGCTAGCAGGTTCTCATTTTAGGAAGCAAGAAGGGGAGTACAGGGATGGACAGGAGGGAGTCTTGCTGACTTCCTGATTTTAAGGGGATTTCCTGGAAACCCCATTCTCTGCTTTCATCTTATTGGCTAGAGCCTGGTCACATGACTTCTAGCTGCAAGGAAGTCTGGGAAATGGACTCTTTTGCCGGATCCATTGCAACCCCAAATTAAATGTTGGTTCTGTTGCCAAGCAAACTTGGAATTATCTGCCACAAAGATCTTAGATGCTTAGGAGACAAATGTTGCTGGACCCAAAGGATGTGTCAGAACAATGTCAGAGAAAAGGACGGAGAGAGATGGTGGCTGCAAGGTTATGTAAATAAAGATAGGGACTTGTTGGAAGAGCTAGGATGCTAAGTGAAAAACTTTAAATTGCATTGGTAGCTTAAGCAAAGCAGAGATGCTGACCCATTTTTTCAGCCTTCCAAATAACTAAGCAAATAACTTAAAGCAACCTTCCAAATAACTAAGCAAATAACTTAAAGCAAAATAACTTTTGCTTTAAGATATTCTGGTTAAATTGCATTTAATATCATCAAAAGCGATAGCTTGATTGAGGTGAAGATACAGTGTGTGTCAAGGATGATAAGGAAAGCAAGGAGACATGGCTGAAGATAGCGAGTAGTGTGAAGTCATTCTTTTAGTAATAACTTGATGGGTTGCTGTGTAAGATTACAGACAGTTCTATGAACAGAATGAAGTCTTTGATTTGTGTGTGTGTGTGTGCTTGTTTGAGTACCTTTGCTTGTGAACTCAGCAGGAGACAGTAAATACAGGCAGAGTGGCTACACGCTTCCCAGGGGAAAAAGCTCTCCAATTACCCTTCTTTTTCTTCCTTTGGTCCTCACAGGGCATGTGGGATTTCCCTCTGGGCCCCGTGGGGTCGAGTTCAGTGTCTCCTTCTATTTACTGGAGTTCTGTGAAGTGCCTCATAGAAAGCTGTGACTGTCCTTCTCTAGGGACAGGGCCGTTAAGTGATTTAACTAATGTCATTAGACAGAAAACACCCACCTAACCAAATGTGTGCACATGCTTTGTTTCCAGAAGGCCAAGTCATGTGAGCTGACTCTGATCCTGGCTCTAGTTGGGGGGTGGGGGGAAATATCCTGAATCTTCAGGAATCGAGGTACAGGCAGCCTGGCACACAGGTGAGGCACGGCCTCACAGTAGGTACTCCCGGAATACTGCTCCGCATGCTAAATTGCTTTGAGTTGAGAACTAGTGTTTGCAGCTGTGGTTCTGAGGTCTTGCAAAATACCTAGTGTTTCTGTTGTCATTGTTAAGACGGAGTTCAGTGGCAGGATCTCGGCTCACTGCAACCTCTGCCTCCTGGGTTCAAGCGATGTTTGTGCCTCAGCCTCCTGAGTAGCTGGTATTACAGGCAAGCACCACCACACCCAGCTAATTTTTGTATTTTTAGTAGAGACGGGGTTTCTCCATGTTGGTCAGGCTGGTCTTGAACTCCTGACTTCAGGTGATCCGCCCACCTCACCCTCCCAAAGTGCTGAGATTACAGGCTTGAGCCATTGTGCCCAGCCCCTAGTTTGCAAGGTAAAAATTGGGCCATGTATTTATGAAAAGAAGTGGTTTCAGTCATTTTAGAAGTTTTTTCAGCAGTGGTTCATTCTTCCTACCCTTGTTTGTGGAGTACCAGGCATTGTTCTGGGTGCTGGGGATACAGTGGCAACCTCTGGCAGGCTCTCCTGGACCAGCCACAGGGTAGCAGTGGGAGTGGAGGAGGAGGAGGTGCGTGGTAAATGGTAGTAACCTACATGGCAGGGTAGGTAATGTACCAGATTGTGTTACATGCAGTGAAGAAAATAAAACAGGATAATGTCCCAGAGAGGAGTGGGGAGGAAGTGGGAAGGAAGGTGGGAGGCTTCTCAGGGCATCTGACTAGGCCATGCCCTGAATGGCAAGAGGGATGCAGCCATGCAAAGATCTGGGCAGAGAGAACAGCAAGTGCAAAGGCCATGAGGTGGCAATGGCTCAAAATGTCCCAGGAACAGAAAGGAAGTGTATTAGAAAGGGGAGATTGCCAGTCACAGTGGCTCATACCTGTAATCCCATCACTTTAGGAGGTGGAGGCGGGTGGATCACCTGAGGTCGGGAGTTGGAGGCCAGCCTGACAAACACAGAGAAACTCTACTTTTATTAAAAATCCAAAACTAAGGCTGGGCGTGATGGCTCACGCCTGTAAGCCCGGCACTTTGGGAGACTGAGATGGGTGGATCACCTGAGGTCGGGAGTTCGAGACCAGCCTGACCAACATGGAGCAACCTCGTCTCTACTAAAAATACAAAATTAACCAGATGTGGTGGCGCATGCCTGTAATCCCAGCTACTTGGGGAGGCTAAGGCAGGAGAATCACTTGAACCCTGGAGGCAGAGGTTGCGGTAAACTGAGATTGTGCTGTTGCACTCCAGCCTGGGCAACAAGAGTGAAAACTCTGTCTTAAAAAAAAAAAAAAAGGCCTGGTGTGGTGGCTCACGCCTGTAATCCCAGCACTTTGGGAGGCCGAGGTAGGTGGATCACCTGAGGTCAGGAGTTCAAGACCAGCCTGGCCATCATGGTGAAACCCCATCTTTAAAAAAAAGAAAAAAGAGAAGGGAGAATGTGGTTACATCTAAAAGGACAGAAAGGAGAAATACCTCTCTGGGGCTTGTTTCTAGTGGTGCAAAAGAAAGATGGTGGGAGCGATGCCAGCTTGAACCAGGGTCAGGGGTTGCTGATGAAGAATGTGTGGGCAAATTTGGATTGGGAAGTTGGATGGGGATTAGTGCCAAAATTCTATTTTGACCACATCTAAGTGGAGCTGTCAGGAAGTCGCTATATGAGTTTCAAGCTCTGTAGAGATGTTCAGGTAGAGGTATAAATCTGAAACACAAACACAGTGCATACATGTTGAAAAATAAAGAGATTTCTGGATTACCTCTCAATCAAAAAAGAAAGTGAACTTATACCACTATTTCAGTTCTTACAGGAAATTATATTCCATTAATGTTTGACTAGGAGATTCATTCTGTGTTATATTCAGCATGGTGAATAAAAACAAGAGATTTACATTTAGAGGGAGACCCTCTTAGAGTTATTTCAACAATGACTTACCTCTAGTTACTGGCTGTAGTTTTGCAGGCAGAAGAGAATAAACCTTTACTTTTGCGCCAAGAGTGCAGCTTCTAAATGTGCTCGGGGCAGCTGCATCTCTGATATCAGGAGAGAAATGTACTCCAGTAAACATCTCACTTAGCAAAGCCCCCTAACCCATGGCTTCTGCGAGTTCCCTGCCATCTGGTCCCTGGCTGGAAAGAGGAATTTTTCTTGTATATGCATCTCCATAGCAACGAGTTTGCAGTTGATACGGAAAGTAAGCAGTTGCCTTAGGAACGGAGTTACTGATGTGGCGGCTCCCTTGCTTTCAGGGAATGGATACGCTGACCAAACTAGTTTAGATGCATCCTGTAGGGCGCTGTAATGCAGAGCCGCACATTATGGGCCCTGCCAGTGTAAAATTGGTCCAGCTTTAAAAGAGATCTCAGCCCCTCCCCCTTTAAGAAGGAAGGGCTTACAGCTGTAATAAATCAGACAAAAGTAGTCGCTGTCAGTTGAAATAGATTATAAGGGGGATCTCCTGGCAGAATTTATTTAGTTGAGCTTAAAGGAGAATGTTGTTGTCAAGGGTACATTTGGTTGCAAGGACAAGAGAGCCACTGAGTTGGCTTAAGTAAAAGAGTACTTATCCCAAAGACATAATAATCCCATGGAGCGGGAGTAGTGTTGGAGAGCAACAAAGGACATCTCGGGTCCACGGCCGTTGGAACGGCTGCCTCCTCTGTTCCTCTGCAGCCACGTGGATGCTTACGTCTGCTTTTCTCTGATGATCTATTCCAGCCTCGTCTTTGCAGCCTGGCTCCCTCCGTGTGATCTTGATTCCTGCCTTCTCATGCCGTTGGTGTGCTCCGCTGGGATGTTGGTGCCAGTCCTTGTGATGTGATTGTCCCAGTGCCCAGCGGCGTCAGCACCATCATCTCTGTGCCTTGTCTTTGTCATCATTCCAGACACTAGGACTTGTTCTTTTCCTGGGCCAGGTGTTCGGGCCAGGTGTTCAGCCCCGGTCAAAACAGGGGCAGGTCCCCTGGATCAAGATAGCTGCTTGGACAATCCCTTCCTCTGGGGCTGGGTGGGGGCTTGGGCCGGAAATATATCTGCAACAACAACAAAAAAATTCAGGAAAGCCTTTGATCATTTGAAGACATTTTACTAATGAAAAGTAATAAGGAACTTTGGAGTACTTTTTTTTTTTTTGAGACAGTCTTGCTTTGTTGCCCAGGCTGGAATGCAGTGGCGCGATCTCAGCTCACTGCAACCTCCGCCTCCCAGGTTCAAGTGATTTTCCTGCCTCAGCCTCCCGAGTAGCTGGGATTACAGGTGTGTGCCACTGTGCCTGGCTAATTTTTTTGTACTTTTAGTAGAGACAGTGTTTCACCATGTTGGTCAGGCTGGTCTTGAACTCCTGACCTCATGATACCTGTCTCAGCCTCCCAATGTGCTGGGGTTACAGGCATGAGCTACTGCGTACGGGTATTTAAAATAATATTTAAAATATTCTGTGCTTTCTTTTTCCCTCTGCCCCCTCGGAGTGCCTCTTCTGGGTGATAAGGATTAACCTGCTAGAGAACAATGGGACTATCTTGAACCTCCCTTTTCTTGTCATCTCCATGGTGCCTTCATCTTTCTTTCATTCCTGTTTATAGACTGGGGGCTGGCAATTCCCAAACTAGCAAAAATTTTTCTTTGGTGGCTACTTCTTCCTGTGGGTTGCCCTCAGAGTGCCCGTAATCACAGGGTTGGGTGATTACCAGAAATTATGAACTCCAGCCCCTGATCCAGACAGAAATAAATGTCAGCCGTCCAATACAAGTTGTCCTAATAGTCAAGATCAGGAGGTTTGGTAATAGTTGTTGCTAACTGTTGTGCACTAGCCCGCATCATTGCATTGTTATTTTCAAAATGAGAGAAAATGTAATTATCCTGGGGACTGAAGATGACAAAACTCTGGTGGAGGATACTCAGCAAAATAAAAAGAGACCAGGAAGGATTACACAGTGGCTTCTGCCAGTTGCTAAGGGATTGGGCAATGGCCAAAATTATGTGGTCGGGGAAGCCACAGGGGAAAGGGACTCCTAAGGTTTAGCAGTGCCACTGGAAGAATCCTGAAGAGAAGACAGAATTTAATTAGCTGGTTCCTTCAGGATAGTCAGACTGGGGCTGGTGACAGGGAGAGCGAGGTCCCTCAGGTCATCAGACGTGGCTTGGACACAGAGGCAGGAATGCCTGAGGGCGAAGTGACATTTCCATAGGACCTTAGTTGGATGCTGTTTGGAATCATGTGAGGCGTTTGTATCCGTGGTCTGACGCCTTTTTAACAACTGTAAAGCAGGTATTATATGCTTTTTACAGATGGGGAAACTGAGGTTCAGAGAAGTTCAGTGGCCTGCTAAGTCTGATATTTAGCCAAGGTCTGACACTTCCTTGCTCTTCCTTTACTCTAGTTGGCTAAAGCAAAGCGCCACTGTGGGATAGGGAGGGAAATAAGTTTGGGAAGGTCGACTGATCTAGACCTGTGGGGTTTTGAGTGCCAAGGAGCCCTGACTTTCCCCATAAGGTGGTAGGGGGCCCTCAGACGTTTCTGAGCCTAACCACAACACAGACAGAGGAATCAAGTGCTTCCTTCTGTTGCCTAGAGGTTCTTGCAGAGTCCCGGCCTCCACAGCAGACATTCTCTTTTTTTAAAAAAAAAAACTTTTATTTTAGGTTTGGGGGTATATGTGCAGGTTTGTTACATATAAACTCATGTCATGGGGGTTTGTTGTACAGATTATTTCACCACCTAGGTCATAAGCCTTTATTTTGCTGCTCCTCTCCCTCCTCCAAAGCCCCAGTGCATGTTGTTCCCCTCTGTGTGTTCCTGTGTTTTCATCATTTAGCCCCCACTTATAAGTGACAATATGCAGTATTTGGTTTTTTTGTTCCTGAGTTAGTTTGCTAAGGATAATGGGCTCCAGCTGCTTCTGTGTTCCCATAAAAGACATGATCTTGTTCTTTTTTATGGCTGCATAGTATTCCATGGTGTTTATGTACCACATCTTCTTTATCCAGTCTGTCATTAATGGGCATTTAGGTTGATTCCGTGACTTTGCTGTTGTGAATAGTCACAGCAGAGATTCATGCTGCCAAGAAATTTATGGAGAAAAGGGCTACAGTTGGCTGGGCGCGGTGGCTCAAGCCTATAATCCCAGCACTTTGGGAGGCTGAGGCGGGTGGATCACGAGGGCAAGAGATCGAGACCATCCTGGTCAACAAGGTGAAACACCATCTCTACTAAAAATACATAAAATTAGCTGGGCATGGTGGCGCGTGCCTGTAATCCCAGCTACTCGGGAGGCTGAGGCAGGAGAATTGCCTGAACCCAGGAGGCGGAGGTTGCAGTGAGCCACAGTCATGCCACTGCACTCTGGTTTGGGTGACAGAGCAAGAGTCTGTCTCAAAAAAAAAAAAAGATTTCAGTGGAGTAGTATAATGACCTAAAACGTACAATGTATCATGTGCAATATAACCATAATGGGAGTCCATAGGTGGCCTGTATCATTAACATGTAACCCTTCTTGTATCATTTAATCTCCCCCTGCCACACCTCACTCCCCTTGCTGGATTTTTTTAAGGTAAATCTGAGGCATTGTATTATTTTATCTAAAAATACTTCAGAATATATCTCTAATATATAGGGACTCTTATAGACACACAGACACACACAAAACCCTTATAACAACTAAAACCCATTTAATCATAATTTCTTATTATCATTCAAAATCCAGTTAGTGTTAGGATTTATCTGATTAAAAAAAATTCTCAGTGGTTTGTTCAAATTAAAATCCAAAGAAGGTCTGTCTATGGCATTTGATTGATGTACCTCTTAATGTCTTTTTGATTTATGCTCCTCGCTCCGTTCCCTTCTAGTTTTTCCCCAGACCATTTAAAGGAAGCCGTGTTCCCTTTCCTCCTCTTCTCTAGTTAATCTGATGCTCCAGTCCAGCAGCTGTACCCTGTGACCCCTACTTCTCCTGAAAGACCGTATGCTCTGATTCTGACCTCCTCTTGCATACACTGTTCTCTCTGCCTAGAATGCTGTTCCTCCTCTTTTCTCCTCTGGATGCTGCTGCTTAGCTTAGAAGACCCAGCTGACCTGCAGCTCTGCAAATTCCCCACACCATCCTATTTAAAATTTTGTTTCCCAAACACTTTGTTCATTATTTTATAACACTTATTTCGCACTGTAATTATCTCCTTAGTATCTATCCCTGACCATCATCTTCCCTTCATTTCTCTCACCACCCCGAAATTAAGGGTGGGGACCACGTCTTACCCGTTTTTGCATCTCCTGAGACCGGTGTGTTGTCTAGTATATGGTAGGTACTCATGAAATAGTGACAGAATGGACAAGCGGTAAGTCACCAGTTCAGATATTTTATCATAAGAGTTTTGGAACTGAGTATGTATTATTATTGTTTTTTGAGACATAGTCTCCCTCTGTTGCCTAGGCTGGAGCGCAGTGGCATGATCTCGGCTGACTGCAGGCTCCTCTTCCAGGATTCAAGCAATTCTCCTGTATCAGCCTCTCAAGTACCTGGGATTGCACGTGTGCACCACTATGCCCAGCTAATTTTTGTATTTTTAGTAGAGACCAAGTTTCACCATGTTGGCCAGGCTGGTAACTCCTGACCTCAGGTGACCCATCTGCCTTAGTCACCCAAAGTGCTGGGATTACAGGTGTGAGCCTCCGCACCTGGCTACAATGTTCTTAATTGTATATGACACCCAATAAGATGTCACTTTTGTTAAAGTGGACTTGAGCACAGCAGCGGCTTCTTGACTGATGTGGTCCCCATCATACTCTGATAGAGTTCCTTTGTGCTGGGATCCTGGAAGATTATCTTGGTTTACAGATGACGCATCCGGGGTCCAGACAGTGAAAGTGACTTGGTAAAACCCGCAGATCTGTGCCGAGAGCCTTGGTCAGCTACCCCTTGGCCTGATGCTCTTTCTCTGCATCAGTTTATTCCTTCAGAAAATAAAGTTCTTCAAGGACTCTGATTAACCGGAAGTGGACATGAACTGATGTTATTTATGTGGGATTTATTTTCCTTCTTATGTCTTATTTTAGGTCACTCAGTATACTCAGTCTTTATAATTGATTTGTCATTTCTATTTGTAACTTCTGAAAATTACTTGAGTCTTTGAGAATGTGCTTTAACCTATCAAATTTTTGTTTCATTGGTTACTCAGAATGTCCTTGAATTTCAGCCTTTGAATGAGCCTCTAGACGCTATTTTGCATTATCTGCTTCTTAGTATTTAGCCATTGATGAAATCCACACAGATCCTTCCTGGTGAGCAAAGGACCTGACCCTGCTTCTTGGTGCCGCTGTTATGTGGAGCATTTGCGTGGAGTATTTGCTTATTTCCCAGAAGCAGTGACAAGTGTGACTGCAAGACTCTT